ACCCCCCTTAGGGGTTGGAAAAATGACACCCCCCTAGTATATTTAATACAACTATAGAATTTAATACACACATTAAATACACATTAGGAATTAAATGTACCATATTAATTAGGAATTCTCTCACTATTCAAATACACATTAGGAATTAAATACACACATTAAATACACATTAGGAATTCTCTCACTATATTTGATTTTTCCTTTTTCAGGGGGTAGGATACTGTGCTAACCCTCTAAAGGGTCTGTTTTTTGACACCCTCATCTTGATTGATCACTTACCCATTTAATCATTTGGTAAGTTGTATTAATGAAAGTTGCTTTTTACTTTATTTATTGTAATCTTGTAAATTGGGAAAGCCTTTTTCAGGGGGTAGGATACTGTGCTAACCCTCTAAAGGGTCTGTTTTTTGACACCCTCATCTTGATTGATCACTTACCCATTTAATCATTTGGTAAGTTGTATTAATGAAAGTTGCTTTTTACTTTATTTATTGTAATCTTGTAAATTGGGAAAGCCTTAATTGTGATAATAATTATGAATGGGGAAGGAGAAAAACGTTGGAGGAGGAAAGTGTCTTTTCAGCTCCTATATTCCCCATATTCCCTCCCAAAAAAATAGCAACTCATCCCTCTCCTTTGCAGAAATCGATGGCGGCCGGAAATCATCGAGTTGCTCGCCGACGGTGGGATCGCCTTTAACCTGCCTGGTGGGTTGCTCTTCGCTGAAGGACGAGACACAGGGGAAAACGAATAACATGAGGGCGGCGTCAGAGATGAAGAATAACACCTAGGGGGTTTCTCGTCGGCGGAGAACCCGCCGGAGATAAAGAAGAACATGAAGGGCGGCGGCGGAGATGAAGAAGAACGTGAAGAAGAACACCTGGGGGGTTTCACGTCGGCGGAGAACCCGTGTAGTGATATCCTGTTAACTTCTGATAATTGCACCAGTAGAGTGATAGATGTACCAGTAGAGTGATAGATGTACCAGTGTAGTGATAGATGTACCAGTAGAGTGATAGATGTACCAGTGTAGTGATATCCTGTTAACTTCTGATAATTGCACCAATTTTTTCATATTATGAACACAGTGATTTTGTTAATCACTGTGGTTGAGAGAAATAAATTCATTGTAACTTATATTGGTTATATTCTAGATTATTTTTTTATCACAAAGAGTGGTACATGTACCAGTGGAGTGGTAGATGTACCAGTGGAGTGGTACCTGTACCAGTGGAGTGGTAGATGTACCATTTTTTTCTTATAAAAGTAGAGTGGTACATTTACAAATGGAGTGGTACATGTACCAGTAGAGTGATAGATGTACCAGTGTAGTGATATCCTGCTAACTTCTGATAATTGCACCAGTTTTTTCATATTATGAACATTGTGATTTTGTTAATCATAGTGGTTGAGAGAGATAAATTCATTGTAACTTATATTGGTTATATTCTAGATTATTTTTTATCACAAAGAGTGGTACATGTACCAGTGGAGTGGTACATGTACCACTACACTGGCACATGTTCCTACCTACCACTAAACCGATACCTGTTGTGATGTACCACAGTACTAGTACGCGTGTATAATTTTTTTCAAACAATATGAAATAAGACAACATAATAGGCAATTCCCATTCATAGAACTAATAACGGTGTTTCAAGTTGGGTTTCAAAAATTTCCGAAAATGTAAACAAAGACCAAATTATCCTTCAAATTCAAATAAACAAATAGTCCCCTCGAATCATAAGCAAAAGAGAATCAGTTGGCAAAGGATGGCTGGGTCACTTGAGTAGTTGCAGGGAACAATGTTTCGTGTGCCTCGGTAGCTTTAAATATCAACTCTCCAATTTGATTTCCTGCTGGCCCCCAGGATTCTGCCTCGCAATTTGATTTCCTGCTGGCATCTCAGGACCCGTTCTCTTCGTCATTGCCATTCCTGGTTTCATTGGAAGATAAGTCAATACCGAGAACTAACAAAACTACCAGTGTAGTGGTACTTTAAAGAACCCACATTATCTTGTAAATATCAGTATAGTGATAGCCTTATAAACAAAACCATTACAACGAACAACCACTTTAGTGATATTTGAACCACTCCATCGCTAGATCTACCGCTGCATGTGGAAGATTTACCACTATATTGATAGATATACCACTATAGTTATACATCTACCACTACGGTGATATAGCTACCACTATAGTGATAGAACTACCAATACATGAACTACCACTGTGCAAAAACTCTACAACTTTCGTGCAATAACGTAGTGAAAGAGACGACAAAAAATAAATGCATTCGTGAAGTGAATTGTTATCGTTCAAGTATACTTGCCTCACCTTAGGATGAATTGAAGCGGAAAATCACGTCGGCGCCCCTGTCGGCTTATATAGCCTCTGTCGCTAGTTGACTCTCGTCGACGGGAATCGATCAAGGGGGTTCGAAGTTGATGGTTCGGGACGAAAGACGACGACTTCCGACGGGAGGGATGGGACGACCTCTTTTTGTGAAGGAGATGATGATTGTGGGAGATGATGGTTTACTGCGGCGAAGGGTTGCGGGAGGGTTCTGAACAGAGAGAGATATAGAAGGAAAATGAAACGGTGACATTAAAAAAGGTAAGAGGGAATGTCTTTACATTATGAGTGGGGGAACCAACAGTTTGCTTCTTCCTCTTTTCCGATGTAATTAATTAGTGAATTAATTATAAATTACCAACTGCTTACAATGACCATTAGATTAAGCTAGCTAAAATGGACGGTAAAGACACTGGGTGTCGAAAATCAGACCCCTTTAGGGGGTAGTCACGCTAACCGGTCCCCTTTTTCAGCAGTCTCCGACCACCAGACTTCCTCCGACCGCCACACTTCTCCGGTGAAAATCTCATCGGCAGACTCCCTCCGACCACCTCCAAAAAATATACCATTGCACTGATACGGTGTACCACTGTACTGGTAGATATACCACTGCACTGATACGTTGTACCACTGTACTGGTAGATATACCACTGCACTGGTAGCGATATCAGTGCACTGGTAGCAATGTCATATCTGAGTATCAGTGTAGTGGTACAAATACCAGTAAAGTGGTAATTAATGTGGTGTATTTAATGCTTACTTTGTATTTAATAACAGAACATTTATTATGTTTACTTTCATTAATACTTGTCAATAATTAATGAAAAATTGACCAATTAAAAGGGGGTGTCAAAAAACCAACCCTTAAGGAGTTAGCATGCTAACTCGTCCCCAACTTCGTTAGTAGATATATTAGAGGACAACAAAAAAGGAAGTTTGTCTGGGAAAGACCCAAAATCACAGCTGCTGCCTACTTAGGAACCCTGAAAGCAAACATAACCAACCCAAAGCTAAAACAGAAAACGACTCCTATTCATTAGTCGCTCTCTTTTTTCAGTTTTTCTCTCTCAAGCTCTTTATAAGCCATTCATTACCTTTGGCAAACAAATTATGATTCAAGAAAGTGATGGCACCATACAATAAAAATAATCTTTTTGTCTTGCTTCCCTTTTTTTCTTTTAGGTGGGATGATCACCTTCTCTCCACACACGACGAAAGTAGGGATGACAAAAATATCCGTAACCGTGGATATCCGCCCGAATCCGGCCTAATCGGGTAGGGTAAAACCCGAACCCGAATGACATTTAGTGGGTACGGGTAAAATCCGAACCCGAATATTGCGGGTAATGGGTGGGCATGGGTTTCTCACTATCCAACCCGAACCCGCCCGATTATACACATGCATATGTATTTTGTCTAGAAATAATCAATATTTTTCTCTAACATATTTTATATTTAGCATATAAATATAATATTTTCATGAAATTGTGTGGTTTTAATTAATTTTCTTCATCGTAATAAATTATTGTCTTACTTTTCCTCTTACGTAATGTGAGAATACATATGAATGTTAACATATTGGTTGAAGTTATGAAGAGAAATTATTACCCATGGATAACCGTGGATACCCAAAACCCGAACGGGTATGGACATGGTTTTGATTTTCTACCCATTTCACATGTGGGTATGGGTAAAACCCGAACTACTATGGCTAGGGTAACGGATATGCACTATCCGCGCCCAACCCGACCCATTGCCATCCCTAGAGGAAAGTGATACCATACCCTTTTTATTCTTCAATCACATTCTATGTTAAAAAAAATTGCTGTCTTTCATTTGGGGAGTGTTTGGTCAACTTGAAAAGGATGTAAGTTCTAATAAAATGTGGTCCTGAATTATAATCCCGATGATGAATGAAAAGTAATATACATTCAATTTAAGTTACTAGAGACTAGAATCAGTTAAAAAGTGTTTCCAATTTGATTTGGTCTGATTCCGTTTCAATTCAACTCTTTTTTTTCATATTACTTTTAAGATAATCCATTTTATGGAAATTAAAAGCAGTGTTCATGTGAGAATGTGAGATTATTATTGAAAACTTTTTAAGTATTTTACAAGAAGAAAAGCACATATGGATGATAACATAGTATCAGCAACACCATGTTTGGTGGTGGTGAAGAACTAATTTCAATTGTGACATCCCCACTCTACAAGCAAACATAACCATTCCATTTCTGATACCATCCATCCAAACAATTCCAAAGCAGCAAACTCTTATATATATTAAAAAAGGTTGGTTGTTCTTTTTCTTCTTTCATTTTTGGTTACAATAATGGGGGTTGGAGAGAATTGCCACCGCCACCAACACCATCTTGTATTCAAGTTAGGCAAACAAGTCCAAACAGAACAAATGGGTCCCCATTTCCAAAACCTGTTTTCTGTTCCACCCAATTTCCATTTGTTTGTTTCCTGTCACATACTTAAAAACAGAGCAACTGTTTATCTGGGTGATGCAGAGTTTGCTGAAATCACTTGCACTGTCCCAGAGAATACAATATGAATATAAAGGGGGAAAAGAGTTATGCTCATCATGGGTTTACACATATAGTATAAAAGGCAAAAGCTTTGCTAGGGTTCCTGATGACAAACTTTTGCCTTAAGTAGGAGAAGATAGTGTGGGGGGGAGAGAGAGTTAAACAGTGAGTTTTTGCAGAAGGGAATTTATGGAGTTAAATGGAGAGATAAGAGAAGATGAAGCAGAAGAAGAAACATGAATGAATTGAGAAGTAAAGAAGGTCCCTTACCTCTCTCTCTTAGTACAACCACAACTGCCAGAGGCCTCAGGGATTCCTTGGAGTAGCATTAAAGACTTTGGCCATTGCTGTGTGTATCCCCCTCTTAACTGCAAACCCACCAGCTACAGACATACAGAAAAACCAGCAATAACTATTTGTTTACCCTTTACCTGGAAAAGATCTTTCATTTCACCTTCTTACCGCCCTTTTGGAGTATATTGATGCTTTGATGATCTCTGGCTTTGAAGAAGAAGAGAAATCATGGGTTCTTCTTCTTTCACCCATATTCTCCCCATGATTGTCTTCACAATCATTTTTATCCTCTCATCATTCCAGAACGCCCACATTTCTCCAGCAGCTGCTGCCATTTCTTCTGAGAAAGTCTCGGGGGGAGAAGAGAGAGAAGCAGAGCATGCTACTGCTATACTGCAAAAGTTCAGAGCTTTACTTGGTTTGCACAGCATCAAACACAGAATGCCATGGAATGAACGTTTCTCACCTTCTCCATCTCCATTCCCGGAAAATGGAGCTCCATCTCCAAGTTCAGCAAATGGGGGTCCAGCTCCAGCTCCATCTCCAAAGCTGTCACCAATTCACCTGCATTCTCATCCTCCATCCTTTCACCCAAGACCCATTCCTCTACCACACATCCAACAGAAAAACAACAACAACAGAAAATTCAGAGTGAAGATTCTAGTGGCAATCGTTTTGTCTTCAGGAGCTGCATTGGTGGTATCAATGCTTCTGCTCATCTGGTTCAGGAACCACCAAAGGCAATCTCGAGGAAAAACCTTGTCGGTGGGCAGTAAAAAATGGAGGAGAAGCAGCAGAGGTAAAAAATCCAAGTACTTAGCTTCTTCAGGTAACAAGGTGAGCTTAAACCCCGGCCTTGATTTCTTGCACCCGAATTCATTAGGCAAACACTCTGAGCAAGAAACTTCACAGACTACTGAGGCACTGAAACAAACTAATAGTAGTAGCAGCAGTGCCAGTAGCTCTTCCACCAGAGAAATTGCTTCTGTCCATGGAGATGCAGAGGAATGTGTGGAGTATGAATCCGATGGAGGGAAATCTGTTTCTTCTTGTCGCGAGGATAAAATCATTCCAATTGAGTGCCATTCATCGGACGATGAATCTTTCCATTCATTCGTTGACTCGCATTCATCAAATATCAGGCTTTCCAATGCTTCTTCCGCTGGTAGTGTTGGTGATCCATCTGGAATTTCTCCAATTCCAATGGTTTTGGATATCCCAGAATTAAAACCAGTGCATAGCTTGAGTAATGGCTCAACTCTAGAGCCTAATCTTCCAATGGAAAGTGTGGAAGTTCCACGTACCGCCACGGCACCACCGCCCCCTCCACCACCTCCACCATTGCCACGGCTATCTCCTCCATGCGAGTCGTCGTGGCGGTCTAAGATCACATCCACATTCCCTAATCTTTCATCTCCAAGAAAGTCAAGGCCACCTCAGAAATCTCAATCTGGGATTCCTCCGCCGCCTTGCCCTCCTCCACCATTTCTGGAGGGCAATAGCAGCTCAGCAAAAGGTCCACCACCTCCTCCACCATCACAGCTTCCTCAGTTGACACCACCACTGGGGAAAGATGGAGTACCATTGGCGAAACTGAAGCCCCTTCATTGGGATAAAGTCAGAGCACCACCAGAGCAAAGTATGGTGTGGGACAAGATTAGATCAAGCTCATTCGAGTGAGTTGTCTCTCTCACAATCTTCTTTCTTCCAGCATAGACAACTCGAGAGATTAAGTGTAACGATCCATGGATGGACCTTTTTTGAAAAACAGGTTGGATGAAGAGATGATCGAGTCGCTTTTTGGGTACAACTTAAGAAGCACGGTTAAGAAGACAGAAGAAGCAAACAGCAAAACCCCTTCCCCAAGCAAGCATGTCTTGGACCCCAAGAGACTCCAGAACATAACCATTCTATCAAAAGCCCTGAGTTCCACCGCTGACCAAGTTTGCGATTCACTAATGAGAGGTAGTATAGAGCTCTTAACAATGCTTCACATCCAGGATCGAACAATATCAGCACCCTAATAATTTCTCTATATGTGATATGCAGGGGATGGCCTTGGCTTGCAGCAACTGGAGGCACTGGCGAAAATGGTGCCAACCAACGAAGAACAGTTGAAGCTACGCGGGTTTAAAGGGAACCTCAATGAATTGGGTTCGGCTGAAAGATATGTCAAGACATTGCTCACTGTACCGTTAGCCTTCCATAGGGTTGAAGCAATGCTTTTCAGAGAAACCTTCGAAGATGAAGTATTTCATCTGAGAAACTCATTCTCAATGCTTGAGGTAAACAATTTCAATGAATCCCATATCGCGATACTAATAGTACCCTCATCATATGATTCTAAGTTAGACAATTCATCTCTCAGGAAGCATGCAAAGAACTACGATCAAGCAGACTGTTCCTAAAACTACTCGAAGCAGTGCTCAAGACCGGCAACCGAATGAACGTGGGAACAATTCGAGGCGGGGCGAGGGCATTCAAACTCGATGCCCTCCTCAAACTCTCTGACGTTAAAGGCACGGACGGGAAAACCACACTGCTTCATTTTGTCGTTCAGGAAATTATTCGAACAGAAGGCATGCGAGTCTCGGAAAGTATAATGGGCAAAATCAACCAGAAAACCAAGACCAGAACCGTCGAGGAAAGAGAGGAGAATTACCGGCGGATGGGATTGGACCTCGTCACCGGGCTCACCACGGAGCTCTACAACGTCAAGAAGACAGCCACCATCGACCTCGACGTTCTGGCGACCTCCGTCTCGAATCTGTCGAATGGGATCTCGAAGCTGAACAATCTGGTGGAGAATGAGCTCTCCCGCGACGAGAGAAGCCGGGGATTCGTGGAATCGATGAGTGCGTTCTTGAAATATGCAGGAAGCAATCTGAAAGAAGTGAAGGAGGAAGAAGATAGAGTGATTGCGCTGGTTAGAGAGATTACAGAGTACTTTCATGGGAACCATGTGAGCAAAGACGAAGCAAACCCATTAAGGATTTTCGTAATTGTGAGGGATTTCTTGGGGATGCTCGACCATGTCTGTAAAGAACTAAGAAGCTCCAAGATGGCTTATAGCCCAAATCCTCTGGCGCCATTTCGATAGGGGAATTTGATCAATTTGGGATCATCAGTTTCTTTCCTCTTGTGTGTGTGTGACTGCTACTTTGTTGTTGTGTTAAGCTGTTATTGGAAACCTCTCATTTGTACGAAATTGAAATAAGATTGGAAATTTTTTGTTAGTTTGAAGATTTCCACGACATGAAGGATTACGAATGACAATTTTTTGTAGGTAGCATATGGTTATCATTTCTGTCGTTTTTATCGAGCCATACTCTACGATATGAAGTTCGCTGTCTCCGTATCTATTCCTACTGTGTGCGGAGAACCTATCGACATATACTACGAAGGCACTGGTAGATGGTAATCTCCATGAAATTTCTTTCTCTGTATGAAGCCCAGAATTTAGAGTTTAATCTTTATCTCTTTCGGTTTGAGATTGGAGTTACTGAGTTAGTAGATGTAGTGTTCAGATTCAGATTGGTTCAGTCACATCTTTGACAAAATAATCGAGCTAATTAACGAGAAAGAGCCTCGATTAGAAGAGGAACATGAGAAGATTGAGGATTGAGAATCGAGTACAGATATCCATTACAGTTGAATTTTTTTCTTATAAGAGCCTCGATTAGTAGATGTAGTGTTCAGATTCAGATTGGTTCCTCTATTACAGCTGACGGTTATCTTGACAAACCACCATATTGAAATCGTATTACCGTTTAACCTCCAATATGTTGTTCTGGCTTCATGAAACCATTTCCTGATATGCAAATGGAAAGATAGAAAATGGGTAAATTGCAAATTTGGTCACTAGAATCACTTAAAAATATCATGTTTGTCACTAAAATTAATTTATTCCATTCTTGGTCATTAAGATTAGTTCAACCGTTCAAGTTTGGTCACTCACCGTTAGTATCTGTTAAATTTGATGATGTGGCAGTCAACTCTCATAGTTGACCGTTAAATAAGTGACGTGGCAATTAAAAATAAAATCATTAAAAATTCCATCTCATTATCATAATAAATTAAAAAAAATTAATTATTATTTTTACGTAGAGCCATGAGAGCTCTTCCTCTTTGTCTGACATCAGCCATGGTAGCCTCCACCGGAAACTACCTCCAAGCCTGCCGTCGGCGGTTCCGTTCCTCGGCCACCTCAGCCTCTTGAAACCCCTAGTTCACTGCACCACCAATATATCGTTGGAGACGACGACGTATCCGATCGAGTTGGCGATTCAACTCGAGGGATAGAAAGAACTGGCTACGACGCGGAGGCAGAGGAGTCTATTTCACGACGACGCGAAGACAGAGTAGGGGCAGAGGAGAGGGAGACTACAGGGATCCTCGTCGCCTGCATTCTCCTTGCGACCATCTGCATCGCCACCGGCGTGGCGGTCGACGTGCTTACAAAAAAGATTTCCAAAAACCATAAATCGGTGTGCGGGGAAGATGATTCTGGTTTTGGAGTTTTGAGAACAAGGACGAAAATTCGAAAAAGGTGGGTATTCAATTTTGGTAGTTCTGGGAACAATGACAAAAATAGGCCATCGCGTCCTGCTCGGCATCGCCGCTCCCACAGAAGCATATATATATATATATAGGGAAAGCAATGTCTGAAGCATGTATTTCTCTCGACGAAGAAGTCCATCTCACCGATCAGCTTGCGTCGATGATGATGATCTTCATCGCTGGAGTCGTCGCGAGGAAGGAGAGTACGAGAGGAGGTGGAGAGTTAGTTTTCTTCGTAAAGTTAAACACTTAAACTAATTGCATCAGTTTGGAAAAGAAGAAAAAATTCCGATAGCTTTGTTGTTGTATGCAGGATATATAAAAGAAAAGTAAATAAATTCCATTTTAATTTCTTGTTATAATAACCATAAAAATCATTTTTTGTTATAATGAGGTGGAAATTGTTAATTATTATTTTTAACTGTCACATCACTTATTTAACAATCAACTATGAGAGTTGACTGCCACATCAACAAAAATTAACAGAGACTAACAGTCAATGACCAAACTTGAACTGTTAAACTAATTTAAGTGACCATGAATGGAATAAAATAATCTTAGTGGCAAACGTGAAATTTTTTAGTAATTTTAGTAATTCCAGTGACCAAACTTGCAATTTACTCGATAGAAAATGATCAGGGGAAGTTACATAATATTCAATGCCTAAAGAATGCAGTTTTCAAGCAAATCTCATTACAAATTCCTATTGGCAAACAATTGAAACCTCAATGCTTTCTCTCAAACAATGTTGTTTAGTTACAGAAAATAACACTAATAGGCAATACATATTCATCCATACATTTTCCCCCATATACGGTAGAGGACTTTGAAGACCTGAAAAAAGACTTATTCATATGATACCCAAAAGAAAATGGCCAAATGGGGGGCATATATCTGAAGAACCAAAAATATAATTTTGGACTAAAACATTTGGATCAAATGGGGAGGGCACAGAAAGAAGGGGAAAAAATCTAGGCAAAAGTATTCTCTCTCTCTACTGAGGTTTGTTTTTTACTAGACAAGAGTTGGGTCCTCCAGGCTTCTTTTGAATCAATCGTCTTCATCTCGGTGGCCGGGGGAGCCAGCAAGCCAACCCCACACCCCTCCAGATCCCTGTCGCTGCTTAGCACTCATAGCTTGTTCAGAGGCGGCCTTCTGGCGCTGCAGGAGCTCGAGCTCCTTCTGCAGCGCCTCCATCGTCTGCAGCTTTTGTCGTAGTTCAGCAACATCTACCTGTAATGGAAATGAAATTTGGATTCAACATTGAAAGGGAGTAGAACAACATAAAAGTCTTGGTATCAATGGCTACGGTGAATAGGGTTCGCAGTCACTTTAGGGGCTAGAGCCTGCCTCTAGTCATCAGTGAACAACAGGGGCTAAGAAGGCATATACCTCCAATTTAAAACACCTTGACTGCTCGGAAGCAAGTTGACCACGGACAGATTGGAGTTCCTGCAAAATTTAGAGAAAAAATGGTACATTTTAGTGTTTCAGGTTCATCTGACTAGGTTAGCCCGAGAAGATGGCAGCAAGTAAAGTAACGGGTACAAAACAAGATATATGATTTACCTTGTAAAGCTCAGTGTTACGATTTTCAGCTTCAGATAGTTCTTGTTTTAGTTGAACAGTCTGCATCTTCTCCTTGGTAAGAGAAGATTCCAATTCTTCTTTCTCCGCCTTCAGGGTCACTAAGAGATTTTCATTATTCCCATTGGCTCTAGATTTCTGCGACAAAACAGTAAGAGATCTTCAGTTGAAAGCTATGGTTACTCGGATTAAGTATGAATAAGGAGACTGGATTCATAATTTCTGCATACCAAGGGTTCTGGATCACCATTATCCACAACGATTTCTCTGATTTTGCTATCTTGACCGACTTCAAAATCTGATTCCAAATCCCTTGTTGCATTTGTTGCATTGTGCACAGCGGAAACACTGTCAGGCGCAGGAGTCTCCATGATCTTTGATTGCAAGGTTGATTTGTGACTTGGTTTAAGGACATTGACCTAACAGAAAGGTAAGACTTGTTGAGGGGAGTGAAAAGGAGACAAGGAGATAAGGATATACATCAAGAAGTAATAAATAAATCCATTAACCTCACTGTTGTAACGACCATTATATCCTCCAAAGGACAATAGAATATCCTCACCGTTGCACGAGCTCACAACCAAACTCAAACCCTGGAGAAATTAGCAAATTAGAAACCGAGGGTGATCCAATTGCCAGTTTAAGATGTAGAAACACTTTCTTTGTGCCGGCTGACACAAGTGCGGAAGTTAGGACAAGAAATATTCCTACTTTAGCCAATAGGTAATGTTCAGGCATAGTTCACAGAAGTCTGTGGTGGAAACACTAGTGGGTTCCAGGCTTCCAGCAAAAATAAGTCACCTAAACTAAGTTGTGACTTAAAAGCCAAAATGAATGCATTTCTTTCATCTACCTGTGTAGAAGAACTATTCGTCATGGTGGACCCTATGAATTATTAAAATCTAAAAATTGCCTCACCAACAGAATTTAATTTCCAACTTTATCGCTTCGAACATAAATCGAACTCAAAGTAATAACAACTCGTTGCTCTATTTCTACACAAACTTCCAACTTTACCTCACTGGCAACAGGAACGCGACCTTGAACAGATGTAACAACAGACCATACAAGAGTAGACATGTTTAGCACAACAGTTTCAGATGCCCCTGCAAAGAGCCAAACCAAGACAATGGAGAATTACACACCAGCAACAAATACATGGTTGAGATAATTTTGGAAGGTTAAAAAAACAGCTTCTATCGGCAATTTCCTAACAGGTAAATAGGTGACGCCTGCCTTACTAGACAGGATGACTAAAGGCTTAGTGCAACTGAATAGCAGCAACCCCTCTCCCTTCCTTCCCAACATAGCGGATATGACCCCATCTGATTCTCCAAACTCTAAACTGGATGTATGCTACAGTTTATCACATCAACTGCAAACATCTATAGTATTTATAACAAACTAACCACTGGGAACTTCAATTTTAGATTAGTCCCATACTGGTAACCATTAAGAAAAACTACCATCTTTTAGCAGATTGTTGATCCGTTTATGTTTGCCTTATGTAAAACATAGATAAGATGTTCTGGTTAAAATGCTTCAAGCTGTACAAACCTACCACTTTTGTTGTCTCCCCCACCAACGATAAACCAATTCTCTCCAACTGTCACACTTGCATGTCCGGCCCGTGGAGTTGGTATATCTCCTTGTTGCGTAGGTCTTGTCCACTCCATCTATCACCACGTTAATTAATATAAGACATCAATTACTGCACACTCCATGCACAAAATATAAATAAAAGATAGTGAGCCAAGTTATCTCACTGATTGTAGATCAAGCACGTGAAGATCATTGAAGCAGGTTGCATGCGAGCCCCCTCCAAAGATAAGTAAGTAACGCTCCGCATGTACTGCAGCAGCATGATCAGATCTAGGAGAAGGAGGCACCCCACTGCAAACAAATCAAATTTCAATGTTGAACAATGCAGAAACCTGTTTCCAGATATATCTTCAACCCCCTACATTACCATCTACCTCCGGGTAGTGTCTTAAGAAATCCGGCCTAGACATGTTACTAACACTAAAGATGGATAAAGATTATGCGAGATAAAATCCATCTCTTGACCAACAAGAACTGTGAACCTTCCATCTCTTCAACAGGTTTATATTTAGCAAGAAGTTGCCTAAACGTAAGGACATGAAATCCAAAACACCATTTGTACCCCAACCACAACAAAGGATGAACGTGATGATCATAAAATAACAATAATAATAAGGCAACTCGAACTATAAAAAAAAATTATTTCCCATATAAAGAAGGCTTACGCAGCATCGATCTCATCCCAGGTCATAGTTTCAAGGTCAAGAATATGAAGATCATTTAACAAAGATCTTTTTGCGTCTTCTCCACCAAAGATCACTAAGCTTGTTCCAACTAGGGTGACGGATTGTCCCCCACGTGAGACCTACATGTTAGGAACATAGACAAAGTTCACATTCCTCGCATAAATTAATTGAATAAATAACCAAAGGGCCATCTAGTTGGTCGTTAAAGTTTTCATACTGGGATACCTAGATCCAGGATCCCAATTAATTCAAAACTTTCCACTCAGCAGATATAGAAGAAGGACAAGCATAAGCAAAGAACATACCGGAGGCTTCCCATAAGTCTTTAACATTGACCAGGTACCAGTTTTTAAATCAAATCCTTTCACTGTCATTAGAAGAAGAAGAATTATTAAAATTAAATGGGTTTTAAGAGAATTTGAACCATACAAACGTGAGCTACAGACCCTGAATGGTCTCAGAAGGATCCTTCGTGTGGCCAGCAATTGATATAAGCTTATTTTCCCATGGTATCTGAAGAATACAAAAGATAGTTCAACATTACAGCAGGCCATCCCTGGTTTACGTTCCAATATTTTTTCACTTCTATTTTTATAATAAACCATTAAATAGAACGCATGAACCAACCACAGAATGACCAGCACAAGGTGCTAATATAGACGGAGAAGCAGACTCTGGAGGTTCAGCTCCAACTTTTGATTCGACCTTTGACCAAGTCCAGCTTCTCAGATCCAAAACCTGAATTGCAAATCCATAAGTAACTATATCCATGTGGGTGTGTGGGTGTGTGTGGGGGTGGGGGTGGGGGGTATTATTATAGAAGCAAATACACGAGTACTACTACAAATAAAATGAGCATGACCTATACATGAGCACGAACAAGTTAATGTTCAGATACTTGAGCATCATATTCAATAATAGATTCAGCAAAAGGAAAATCCCACCCACACCACTTGCTCCACTATTTGGATGCAAAGAACGACATACGAAAAGAGGCAACAAGATCCTCGCCTATTGCAACATTGCCAAGAGCACAGTTTTGCTTACATGAAGATCGCTTAGGTAACGCCCATTATGATTTCCACCAAATATATACATCTTATCTTGGATAACTGCTGCCCCATGCTGCAACAGAAGAATTTTACCGGCCAAAAGAATATCATTAGAGGGATCCTAGAAACAAAATATCAGAGAAACAAATAACCAACATGAGGACACGCCCCAAGTTTGCACCTCGTATCGGGCTTTAGGGCGTTGACCATTTATTGGAGGTGCAATCCATTGGTCATACACAAGGATTGAACCAAGCCCTTCGGAAACGACATCTTTGTCCTGAGTTTCCATTACATTCCCATTCTCACTAGCTACAGTCTTAGTTTCTGGCAAAGCATTGCCATTCTCGACAGCATGCTCAGCTTTGGAGTTGTGCTACAATAGAACATTTGAGAACAGTGAGTAAACAAATCAACAGAATGAATGAGTTCGCTAAATTTAAGTCTTACCAAGACAAAAATAAAAACATAACCAATAATAGACTAAAAAATAGCAACAGTTAACAATATCCATGTACTTACACTCACTGGCATATCTATAACAGGCTCAGAAACAAAGTTAGATGCTCTAGAATACCAACCGGGATCTTCTTCCTAGCCAATTGAAAAAAGAAAGTAAGGATTAGCAGCAGTAAATCATTCACGATGTGATAACTAGCAAAGTCAAATTGCTATAAAGTATAAACCTCCAATATCTTCACAAAGAGACGCATTGCTTCGGTAGTAACCATGTTCCCAAGGCCCTGCCAACTGCAATAATTTTAAATCCCTTAGAACACGAGAACATCAAACAAAAAGGTGTCACTAATGCTCCAAACAATGGCCATTGCATCAGGAAAGATCTCAGAGCACCAAAGGAACAGATTCTTGGAATAGATGCACAAAGAGAAAATGAAAAAGGAAGCTGTTTACGTATGAACAGGCATATACATCACAAACAGAAGGCTTCAGAACCATAAACACACGAATGAGAAAGATAAAAGCTAAAATCTAAATTACCTCTTCCACTTGCTTAGCTCCACAGCATTCCACGCACTAGGTTTTGGAGTGTTGCATGGTCCAACTGTCGCCTGGTATCACATAGTGAACAGCAAGATCAAACAAGGTTGCATTGGCCCTTGAATGGGGAAAATGAAAAAAGGAAGGAACCCCATGTTTCGGAGTAGATCTCTGAATCCCGTATACACTGGCAAGCAGTTCAAGCATTAAGAGATTCATCCATAAGAAAGACAATTGAGGGTCCAATGTACAACTTTAGATGCAACAATTGAGCTTGAATCCCTCATTCTCAAACTCACAGTTCAAAGTTGATCACTCCCAGCTTCATGCATAATATCAGATCTGACACTCCAATTTCGAATAGGTTCATTCGGAAAAACCAACGGTTTATATCGTTTTAGAACTGGCGGCAAACCGGTAAAAAAATTTGCATTCCTCCAATCTCAATTCCTATACCAGATCTACTGTACTCCACATTCAAGCAGGCTAAGATTCGCAACAATAACCATATCCAAAAACCTCAGCTGAAACTGCGAAAGAACCGCGCATTGCACCACAGACATGTGCAGGGGGGCAGGAATTGAAATGAAAACAGAGATCGGCGGCAGCTAAAATTGGTCGAGGGATATAGCAAATCGGACATTGGGGAATCGAGGATTTCGGCGCGTACCTGCTGGTTCAAGGCGTAGAGGAGTAAAGCAGTGTCGCTCTGGAACTTGGAGGTGACAACAGCGGTTGAATTGGGAGATCCATCGAATCCAGCGTACGCCGCGGCTGCATAGAATCGCTCCGGATACGCGAGGCCAGAGCTTGCCCTCGCCATCGCCATTTCTGGTTCCTTTCCCGCTCTCTCGGTCTTCTCTCTTTTCCCTGGGATCTCTGATACGAAGCCGGGGTTGTTATTCTTTTTCCTTCTGGTTTTGTTTCTCTCAGGCGAGAGGGTTGGACAAAATATGGCCGAATTCGAAGATTGGAAAACCGAAAATACTTTAGATTAATAAGCTTTTTCACAAAATTAAAATTTTGCAAGGAAGTCGAACAGATTTGTACCGTTGGGCTGATTTAACAAGTGATATGATTTGATCGGTGTACAAATCTTTCAACCCAATTTAAAAAAATATATAAAAATAAGAAACTTCATATTTATTAAATTAATTTAAACATATATAAAATATAGTTGAAGACACTGCTTACCAATTATATTCATATTTAAATAATATACAACATACCAACCAAAATAACAAATACTAATGTTTAAATACAATATTTAACGTCAACATACAAACGTTTATATTTTTTATATGAGTCAAACGTTTTATACATGAATCCAACAAATACCATCAACATTTAACTTTCAAATTCATAAAATAAATCACATATTAATTTTTTGTTAACTAAATTCACCTAAATGAAATTATTTTGTTTAGAATTGATCATGTCGGGAATACATGTGGTTTTCCAACTGGCTTCCTGACCGACACTGGTTATGCTAGGTCGAACTGATTGATATTCCAACAGCATGACAACTATGCTTTAGTGTGCTTTTCAACCTTTGGTATTGACAGTCTGTATGTTTTAGAAATGCAGACATTAAAAGTGTATTTAGTTCGTATGAGAAGTAGCACGATTCATGGTAGTACACATGACATCGTAAAAGAGTCAATGACTCAAGTTCGGATTGCACACATCGAATGGATGTGTGCCAAAAGAAGAGTGACCATTACGTGCTAACATATCTGGAGTAGAATTGTCGTCTCTAAATACGTGATAGATGCTAACCTCCTAGTTACGTTCCAACACCTACCAATTTGATACGCTAACAATCCATGGATACGATCCCTCTCTTTCTAGTTCGTTATAATATCCATGGTTGTTGATGAGTCAAGCTTCATTTTAAATTGTTTGTATACTTATCGCAATGTCATCTCAAGAGCTTCTGCTCCTATTTTGTGATCAACCATTTCTGAAGGTTGCAATAGAAAACTCTAGTTCATCTTCCCAAGTGGTATTGAAGAAGCTCGCTTGCTGCTACGTTCCCAGGTGTTGTAATGAATGATCCATCTATTTGGAGTTGGATCTAGCCTTCTACAGGAAGCCATAAAGCAACCTTAGTGATCACTTGAGTCAATTGCATTGGCAAAATGCTTATTTGCGCACTATGGTGCGCCTGTTTGAATGAATATAGGCCAGAATCTTATGTATCGTTCCTGTTTTCGATTAACTTTTCCCATTCATGACTTTGCCGTTCCTCTTCTTCAAGAGAATCTAGCATATCACTCCAAAGTCAATACAACTTTCTTCCCCATTAATGTTTTCATTGAGCCATGTTTGTAAGTTGATCATGATTGTCAGTGGCGGAGCTACTCCCACACTTGGGGGTGCCTGCAGCCCCCTTGGAAGGAGAGGGAAAAATCCATCCAGGGAGGAATTAGTTACGGAATGAAAAAGTTGTCTCATTTGTCATAGACAATCCTCCTTACCATAGCAACTGAGGTTTTACGATTAAACACACATTCTGTGTTATTTAACTTACTAAGTATGTATCTAAGAATCTCATTCCCTACCATTCTTTTTCCTCGGCGGCTGATACAGACCTTGCAGACAACAATATTGCAAGCACCAAGCAGAACAGCGACCCAGCGCCTCCATCCAAGCTCTTTCATTGGTTTGTTCACATAATCAATTCCAATGTACTTTTGAGTTCTAATTTTAATTATCTGATGAATTGATGTCTATATTTGATGGCTGCAACATTGTTGGATTACTCCCTTTTGATGGTCGCTTTATACATTGAAAAAGATTTGTGTGCTACTTTGGACAATGAATGCATTATACAATGCTTTCAGAATATACAATTTTGGGGTGATTCGTTCTAAGTAGTGTGCGTCGAACTATTATTTTGTAGACCTACTCGTACGAATTTTGAGTATTATGTTGTTGAATTTTTTAGAGTTGATTTTTCCAATATCTAGTTGATTTTTAGGGTATTAAGAAAGACACCCCTTGACCAATTTTCTGGCTCTGCCACTAATTATTGTCTTTTTCTTCAGCTTGTCCTTGATATGGTTCCAAGTCCCTTATGCCTTCTTACAACTTCCCAGGATATGTCGTGTTGTTTCTTCTATTCCAGTGTAAGAGTTGTAGTTTCTGTTGTTTGTCAGTTTTCATTTATTCCTTTCTTTGTTGATAAAGAATCTATCATTGGTTGCCACCCACATGAAGTATTTCACACGTTGTGCCCTTTCCAATATCATTGATCTTTCAACAAAATTGTTGGCTTGATTTTCTTCTTATCAGCAGCAAGGTCGCAGGTTGATTTGAGCCAGAACCTCTCATCCTTTTTGATGCACATTGTATGTTTGTTGTTCTGTAAGCTCTAGTTTTGGGTCATCATTCCCTGCAATATGAAGCATACTATCATTAAGAAGATAAAATTTGAGTCGCTCCCAATCTCACTCACTTGAATCATTGACCCAATCAGCCACATGTGAGTTGCGTTCCTCGGAAGTTAGCTCTTTCAACGCATATTCCTTTAAGAAGATATCTTTTTCAACCCATGGATGAGTGCAAAATCTCATAGCCTCTCTATCTCTGATACTCAATGCTATAGCTCTTCTTATGAGCGACATGGCCTTGTCAATCGCTTTCCAAAGGCTGGAATGGTTACACTTCTTCATTAAGCTAATCATTCCTTCGATACATTGAAAATTCTTTCCTTGAAGAGCCTGAACCCAAAAATCATTCCCAATATTTATCATATGCCAAACAAGTGTCACCATAGATGTTGAACTCAAACGTCTAGTAGACCTAAGGCAAATTTCAACCTAATTTTTTAGTTTACACATTGTATCCCAAGAGAACAGGTAGACTTTCCTCTTGCGCTCGTTACCTCCCCAATCAAAAATCTTAATATTTTTATATATTGCATAAAAAATATAGACATGGAGCATCAGATTTTTGCATACGAAGGAATTGCATATAACACAGCTAAAGCTAAAGTAACTTTGTCAGCTAGAGATAGAGTTCTCGCTTTCCAAGAAGAGATCTTGTTATCAATTCTTTGTAAGATGTATACTAGGTATTGCAAGTGAGTCCGCCATGTCAAATTGGGAGTCATAACTGAGGGGTTGATTGGATGCCAAGTTTGTTATAGAGTACTCTCTAAATCATTTGCATACTTTGAGCGTAAAATTATGATTTCTTTTTCTATATGAGATCCCTAGAAGCAGAACATAACCTTTCCAGACACTCGATAACGATTTTTACCTGCTTGAGGTTAGATTACACAAAATATAGTGGCTAAGTTTTTCAACAAAAAGAGTACATCATTGCCTGGCTCGAATCTTTTAGTCTCTCCTCCATACCACAACACTTGCATCTTCATCTTTGTTACGCAGTTAATGATAAAATTGATGTTGTTCACAGGAATATTCTACCAATAAACAAGATCTCTTCCATAAATTTTCAGTCTATATGCTCAAAAGCTTTTGCGAGATTGATCTTCAAGATCATTGTTCTCTCTTCCCTTTTATCCTCGTCATTGGTTCAACTATTTCCTGCATGATAAGAATATTTTCAGTTATGTGTCTATTCAGAATAAAGTTTGACTAAGTGTATAGGGTTGGTCATAATCTTTTTTAGCATGTTTGTGAAGCATTTGACCACCACTTTGTATCCAACGTTACACAAACTTATAGGTTTGAATTAGTTTATTGAGTATGAAGGTTTGGTTTTTGGGATGAGAGCAATTGGAGTTTCATTACAGATCTTGATTCAACTCGGTTCATTGTAGTATGCGGAAATGAAGCTGAAGAAGTCACGACCAATTTGTATCCTGCACTTCTGATAGGAGATCGCCTGGAAGCCATATTTTCCAGGAAATTTGAGGCCTTTAATATCCATGATCACTTGGGGATGTCCCTATTCTAGCAAGCAAGGGGTCGTCAACTCTTCGAATAAAAAACTTATCATAAACCAGACCCTAGAGATTTGATGAACTTTTGGTCATGGGTTCTAAGGTACACAATACATTAGGTGAATATGTCTTCTTATAGAAAAAAAAGAGTATTAATAAAACTTCAGGTGGTTTTCACCATGATGATTCCTTGAGTAACTTTAATCATGGATGATGAAGAGATCACTCACCTGTTACAATTGATTGGTTGATACTTTCAATTAAGGTTGATGACCATCAGCGTCTCCTCCTCCCATTTTGTGCTTCCGAATGTGTCCTTCATTTGCACGTCGGGAACTTGTTATTGGTTTAATGTAAATTCGAGTTTAATGCCTTGTTTTAAAGATGAAGAGTTTATCTTTCCATTGATGTGCTTTGAAGCTCGAGAGAAAGGCCAGAAGAGTGATTTACAGGTTGATCAAGTTGATAGCTCGACATGGGAAAAATTGTCGAAATATTTTCTAAGTGTTGGAACGAGTTCGGGAAGGAACTTTGGAAGCCTCAATCGAAGGGATGGCATTAGAGTCAGGCTTCAAGAATCATACCTCATGGAAGTAGGTTTCTTCTACTACAACAACATGGTGTTGGATGAATGGATTGAAGAATGGAAGGCATCGAACGAAAGCTCCAAAGATCGTATCGAAGCTGAGTTTCTATCTTTGGAAACTAGGCAATTCGAATTCTTATTGGATTAGGATTCCTTTGTTGTTTTGTGTTTAATTCCTTTTCATTGTTGGTTTAGATTTCCTTTTCCAATTGTAATTTGTTTAGGACTTCTCTAAGAGTAGTAGGATTGGCTAGGTCTATTGAAGTAGCTTTGATTCATTGTTTTCAGTTTTTAGAGTTGAATTGAATAAACCGCAAGGTTGAGTTCCATAGCTTTTGCTTTGTGAATTTGGAGATCTTCCTAGATGATTCTAGGTGAGATTTCGCGCTTGTATCGTTCAGTTATTCCCACTGTTCGTGGCCAAGCATCTACCCTAAGTTTTCGAGCCTCTTTCCCTACGAGAAGGTTGCACGAAATCACCATCCCAAACACGAACTCAAACTCTATTTTGTGTTCGTCATTTCCGAGTATTGATTCAATCTTTGGATTGAATCTTGTTGTGCTTCTATGATTCCAAAACCAACCATCTAGGGGGTTATCACACTTCTTGAACAACGATAATAACACGGACAATCATCCCACTAGGTGTGCCAATTTGTTTTCCGACGAGGAAAATCTGGTGTTTGAAATTAATGAAATGCACCTTGTCATCTTATACAACGAAAATCAACATGGTTCACTCCTCTCCGACCAATGTTTGAACAATGATGTTTGACGTTTTGATGGTTTTTTGGGAACAAGCTATGTTATATACTCCTACTCCTATTGAGGTTTAGCTAGAGCTCCGAAAACTAAAAGGTAAAGCTAATTTGCAGAGAAAGGATAAATTTTGACATTGTGCATCAAAAGGTTGGTTGTGGAACCCTTACTTAGTCTTAGTTTCTCCTATTTATAGCCATCCCCTGTAACCGCCATGTAACTTGCTCTTGTAACCGCTGCCTCTCCTGCTTAGTGCTTGATGTCTTAACCGCATGACCCCCTCAATTTATAAGATTGTTAAACCCCGAAACAAACACCCACAGAGGCTTGAAACAATTAAAACATCTAAAAATACGTTTCCGGAAATTTCCTGCAGCTTTAGTGACCACCCAAAATCTGTCACTAAAAGTGTGTAAAATCTGTTACTATTTGCAGAATTGCACCCTCATGAAAAATCACCAAACCGATCAATCTAAATCGAAGGGATCGAGTTCTCTTACCTATAGAACGTGCCTAGGACTAGATCGGGTGTCTCGAGATGGTGATCTCCTCGTCAATCGATGTTTTGAACCCTCAAAACGTTACCGCAAACGCTATAGTACAAAAATACGAGTTTTGGATTAGACTACCAATGAATCGAGTTTTGAATCGTGAAAGGATTCGCGATCCTTACCTAGGGGCACAAGAGCAACGGGGAGGGTTCGGGGAAATCAAAGAGACGGCGGTGGAGAAATCGCACCTCTCCATCTTCTTCTTTCTCCGCCTGACGCTCACACTGCTGCTGTTTATTTGGAGGCTAGGGAATTTGAGGGAGGTTTTTTTTTTTTTTGCTGTTGGGCGGGGTAAAAGGATATGTGAAAAGGGTTATGAGGGCCGAGCACCCTCTTGGCCCATTTTTTTAAGAAGAATATTATAATAGTAATTATTATTATTTCTAACCCATGGCTGCAACCCTTCGTATGTAACCGTCAACCGAACCATTCATTTGTTATGATCGAACCCAAATTCAAATATCGGGGTTTTCCTTCTTTTTCCATAACAGCTAATACTCGCGATGGCCCTCTTGCACGACATCATGTTTGATACCCTAGTGAAAGGTAGGTAAGCGGCCATGGTACTTGGTGCTTGACCCCTCTGGTATGACATGATGCTTTACCCCTCTTGTACGATGTCCGGTATGACCCCCTTGTGGTTGGGTCTCAACACTTAGTCCAATTTCTCCTCCTTTGCTGCCACGTACTAGAGATATTCGTATGCTTGACAACCCTCCTTGCACGGCATCATGTTTGACACCCTAGTGCAAGGTAAGTAGGCGGCATGGTATCTAGTGTTTGACCCCTATTGCAAATTTCATTTCTTGGTACCAAGCTCTGCCTTACCGGCCTGGTACCACAGGCTTGCCTCTCGGTCTAGTACCTTGTTAGATCGTTAGTCGTTACCAGACAAACCTTGCCGCCTTGGTACCATGTTGGCCTCATACTTAGCCAATTTTCATGTGTTTTGGTACCAAGCCTATTGCTTGCCTACCAAGCCTATTTTGCATTGCTTGGTACCCTCAGCCTACCAAGCCTCTTTCGTCGGCTTGGTATCGTGTCGTTTGGCACCCTGTTTTGTCGCTTTGTTTCCAGACTTGGTTTTTGGGAGCCAAATTTCATACCAAGGGGGTGGAGGCATCGTCCGGGCTATATAGGCGGCCAAACACTAGGCTAGGGATACGAGGCTTGGCCACTTAGGCCCAAAAACCTAATAAGATCCAACGAGCTCATTTAATGATTAATATTGAATTGGCCTTATAAATCCATTAAATTCCTTATAATTAATCGATGTGGTATGAGATTAATTTTTAGGTGTAAACACCAGGGTAGTGAAAATTAGTTAGAAGGATATTGCGATTTGTGAAGGTGAAGCAATATTTGTAGTTGTTATCTTTTTAATTTGGCCATCCGTTCCCAAATCTCAACACTTTTTTTCTGCAATGGCCAGTGAACCCAATCCAGCTATCTTCCTACTCCTCCTATAGTTGACATTCTCCGTAGTGGAAGAGAGGGCCGGAAATTCCACATTACCGATGACCTATGGGATGTGGTGGACGAGGAGGAGTATGAATTGTGGAAGGAGAAGACCTGTCGTCGATCAACATCCCATCACCGATCTTCGGGTGCAAGTCCCCTTCCTTCTACCCGGTCCCACCAAGCATCACGCTTTGCAGAATCGAGACATCGTTCCCGACCTCTGTCGTCTCCCCAATCACCACTCCGGTGGCGTGATCGAGCAGCACCCCTTCCTCTATTCGAGCGTCGGGGTGGATGTCGACCCTTTGAAGCTCAAGAAACAGTGGATGCAAATGCCTCTTCTCGCCTTTTCTCGTATTTTCGCCCAAAGATCCTCGACGGCCACCGCCTCCTCCTCGATTCGATTGAGAGTCGGGGATTGGGATTGGGTCTGGAAATTTTTAACGAGGGGCACGAGGGTGAGATGCGAGAACAAGGAGTAAATTATTTTATTATTTATTTAATTTTTAATTGACATGTCATTAATTTTACGTTCCAGTCAACAGTTCTGTATGCCACATCATCAAAAAATTGACGGAGTTACAAAGTCTGACGGAGACTAACGGTCAGTGATCAACGGTGAAACGATTCGTAAAGTTAATAGCAAATAAGAAAGGAAAGTAATTTGGGTGACAAACGTGAAACATTTATATAATTTGAGTGATCAAACATGTAATTTAGCCAACCTAGAGGCAACCATGAAATATCATTTCAATTCAGTCATAAATTTTCCGTTTAATCATTGAAAGAAATACACAAGAAGTACCAATGAAATTAAATTACTAAAAATGACATTAGAGATCGTTTGGAAATAAGATATTTTCAAAAACATAAACTCTTTTGGTGTAAACAAGACATTGATTTTGACAACTTGTATATGTCAAAAAAATGTGTTTTTAAAGGAAAAATTGTGGGGAGCTTGTCGGAATAAGTTAACATCATGCTAAGAATTATGAGTTGACCTTTGTGTATACAACAAGCAAACACATAAATTTCCGAACGACCTCAGAAATAATTTGAAGCTGCACAAACGTACATTAATTTAACTAGCATGTACCCGGCTAGTTGGCCGGAAGATTTGAGTTCATTATTTAATAAATTATTTCAAATAAGATTTTTCTTGATTCTCAATTGAATACTTTATTCGTAAAATTATCTAAGTCTTAAGCATACTATGAGTATGTTTTTCAGTTATGTCATGATATTCTCATCCCTCTTGTGTAATAAGAAAAAAACATATCTTTCGATAATTTTTTTCCATTCAATCTCCTAATTCCTAAATCCAAGAAGTATACGTAAGTTATGCATGTCTTCATCTATATTCTTGACTTCATGCTATCTGACAAAGAATTTAAATGCTTAACTTAACCTTATACGCATTTCCTTATTAAAAACCTTCATCATTTGACAATATTTATGTCACGTTATTTTAAATTTATTCTAATACCTAAACACAAAAGTTGAACAAAAACTTAACATCTACACTTTCACTTTCTAGAATTAAACCCTTAATCACCGAATCAACAAACTATCCAAATGTCAATTTTATTAATCATAATAATACATCAATTACAAATCATTTTCTCAATGTTATAATTACCGTACCCATATCCCAACTCTATAATAGCAAAATAATTAACAAACAAAGCTACATATTGGAAGCCCGTTTTTGTGGCTTGTTTACAGTAATAAATAAAAAAATAACCTCAACTCTCTGACCTTCAACGCCATCGTCACTGGAAGGTTCCCTGTCGACCCTAAGTTGAATGATGAGAAGGAAAGGAAGTTTTTATTTTAGATCAGTGTTTGGACTTCAGATATCGTGAATAAAATCTTAAAATACACTAATTATTTAAAAAAATTCCAAAATACATTAGTTATAAAAATAATTTCCAAAGTACACATGTTTCTTAATCACCGCAATGGTCCAAGACAGTGAAATAAATCACCTCAATTGACCAAGACAATGAATATATCACCTCAATTAGTTATAAAAATAATTTCCAAAGTACACATGTTTCTTAATCACCGCAATGGTCCAAGACAGTGAAATAAATCACCTCAATTGACCAAGACAATGAATATATCACTATTTTGACTAAAAGCAGTGAAATAATTACCGCAGTGAAGAAAAACGGTGAACCAATCACCGCGCTGGACTAAGACAGTGAGCATATTCATTGCAATGGACAACTGCAATGATATTTGACTGTCATATGTCAGTGTTGTGGTATATGATCCACGATTGAACCTCTCCCAACAACTCGAGTTATTGGGATCAACTGGTTCTTGACATGGTATCAGAGCCTTCTGTGACCGAGAGGTCTGGTGTTCGATTCCCGGTGACCCCCATTTGTTAAGCACATGGTATTCTTGTCTTCAGACCTGTGCAAACTTCAAGCTCTTGTGAGTGGCTTTCGTTTGAGGGGGCGTATTAGTGTTGTGGTATATGATCCACGATTGAACCTCTCCCAACAACTCGGGGCCTTCATTGCAATCGACGGCTGCAGTGTCCCTGTCTCTCTCTCCAGCAGGTTCTCACCCTATAAATATCCCCCCCCCCCCCGCGCATATTCCAAACCATGCCACCACACACTTCTTCTTTCTCCCTCCATTCCTCCACTCTAGTTTCGTTTTATGTATGTTCTGTGGTTGCGGCTAACTCCGATCTTCCGTATCAGAAAGAATTACTAGAGTTTTTTTTACAATCCTCCGCTCTAAAATTTCGTCGACACTCTCTCAAGCTGTCGCCAAAAAATGGACAAAGAGGCTTTGAGGGTATATACTTTATTTTCCTTTTGTGAATTTTTTTAAATGGGTAAAATAATCTGATTTCATATTATTTTTTTATAGATTGGTGTCGAGATATACGACCATCGATTGTATATCGATCCTGGCCCAAGGGATTGGAGGTATTTATTCGAGCAAGAAACACATTGCTCCCGTGCAATTTGGCACAATAATCCGGTAGACACTGTGCACCGTATAAATTTGTAAATTATTTTAGTATTTTAAAAGTTTTTATTTTGCTTTCCTTTGACTAACAACTTCGTGTTTTTTGTAGGAATCACTCATTTCCATCGATCATCGAGGGACAACACGATTGCCCGCTTGGCATGCTCGACTCTCGCCGTATCTAGAAAGGACGGGATTGGATATGGCGAGGCACTTCATGTGGATTGATATCGACAACGATCTGCTAATGACAATGGCAGAGCGATGGCGCCCCGAAACACATACCTTCCACTTTCCCAAGGGGGAAATGACAATCACCCTCAGAGACGTTGCCATCCTCACCAGGTTGCCGGTCATTGGAGAGGCAATCATCGGCTACTCGAGAAAACCCGAAAATGGTTGGGGGTCGCTGATTCTCGAGCGTTTGGGGTTTGACATGCCGACCCGATCTGGAGTCCAAGGACATGGTCATCCACCGCTGAATGTTGGGCAAATATTGATTCTGTGGCTCGTTGATCACATCCAAACAACGATGAATATAGGCCCAGACACCCCCGAAGATCAAGTGGAGCGGTATGCACACGTCTACCTCATTGGCTTGGTTGGTGGATTTCTGTTCCCCGACAAAGCAAACCGGTGGATACAAGGCATGTGGTTGTCGTTGCTCCTCGGTGACTGGGATGAGATGGGGAGAAAGAGTTGGGGGTCGGCCGTGTTAGCTAGGATTTATCGGGAGCTGTGTACTTGCTCAAAGTTGGGAGCGAGACAAGCTGGTGGTGCGATGTTCATCCTCCGGCTATGGGCATGGGAGCATCTTCCGATGGTCTCACCTCGAGACCCGCGAGAATTCTGGTTGCCAAATGATGAGCTACGAGATGTAGCAAATCCCCATATGGTTTCAAGTAAGTTTTATTTAATTTAAATTATTCCAAGTATGAAATTTAATTTAATTTAATTTAGATTTATTCCAAGTATGCAACTTTATTTAATTTAGATTTATTCCAAGTATGAAATTTTATTTATTTAGATTTATTCCAATTATGCAACTTATTTAATTTAGATAAATTACAAGTATGCAATTTTATTTAATTTAAATTTATTTCAAGTATGCAATTTTATTTAATTTAGATTTATTACTTAAATTGATTAAGTAAGTGTTTAGGAAATTATCACATGCTTAGCCTCTATGCTTTAAAAAAGTTCTTATATGAGTACCTTTGCTTATAAGGTGAATCGGAGCAAATACAAACGACCACCATACTGAGCACTCTTTTATGTTTTATCGTACTGAGTTTGATAAGTCTTTGTGGAACTAGGTAAAAATGTCTTTTTGAATATTTTAATTTTTTACCTTCTAGTGGATATAATTGATACTAATTGCCAATTATTAACGAATGTAGGTGACATGGGACCCATATCCACAAGAAGCGGTAGAGTTGTATCATCTTAGACACCCCGAGGATCTGGAAGAATGGTTGTGCAAGGTGCCCTTGATCTGTTGGCACGTGGTAGAGTGGCACCTGCCGGATCGACCCTTGAGGCAATATCGATTGGAGCATCCAATTCCAACATCCCCGCCCATAGGTTTCGGGGATCTCCATGCCATCGACCTACGCCACAAATCAAAGTTTTGGATCCGCAAGCATGAGTTCTACATCAACATTTGGGATAATAGAGCGAATTGGGTGGTCCAAGGGATCTCGGAGACTAGGCCAATGGGGTACCACGATGGGTACATGCAGTGTTATAAAAAATTCACGCTTAGATGGGTATTAAATAGGGGTGGTAAACGGTTTCCCGGTTAATGGTATAACCGAAAACCGTACTGATAACCGGCGGTTACCGGTTATACCGTTAACCAGCGGTATCGGTTGACAGTAGCCAACAAACCCCAAACGGTGTACCGCGTTCTTCCCGGTAAATCACCGACAGTTAGTCGGATAACCGGACAACCGACAAACACCCAGAACAGAGGAACAACGCAACAATCCCAACCTCAATCCCCACCAGTTCCAACCCAAATCCCCATCTGCCGAATCCCCACCTTTGGTCCCAACCCAAATCCCAACTTGCAAGCGACGATAAGAGAGACAATCGCAGGAGGATTTTGTCGCCGTCCCTTCCCCTGCATCATAAGTCATCGTCGCCGTCCCTTCTCATAATCGGAGGTACAAGCAAACCAAAACTGAAAACCCCAAATTGAATGAGAATCTGCCGGATTGAAGATTCAGCGCTTGAGGCTTCTTCTCCGGGCGGAAGTCGGTGACGATTGGAGAAAGGCGAGGGAGACGCCGTGGCGGAAGTCGGTGACAATTTCCAGGATCTCACCTACGCCCCAGCAACCAGGCAGAGTCTCACTCATGACGGACCCGGCCAAGTCTCCTCCGCCGCCTCGCGAGTCGCGACCTCGATCCAAATCAATCAAGAAGCTCCTCACCCCCCGCCATCGACCGCCGCAGCTCGTTGGGCGACATGCACCATACCTAGG